AGGTCTAGCAGGCTCTGCAACAGGTCTAGCAGGCTCAGACAGGTCTTGCCTGCTCAGCAACAGGACTAGCAGGCTCAGCAACAGGTCTTGCCGGCTCATCAACAGGTCTAGGAGGCCCAGCAACAAGTCTACAAGGCTCAGCAACAGATCTATCAGGCTCAGCAACAGATCTATCAGGCTCAGCAACGGGTCTAGCAGGCTCAGCAACAGGTCTCTCAGACTCAGCAACGGATCTAGCAGGCTCAGCAATAGATCTTGCAGGCTCAGCAACAGGTCTAGCAGGCTGAGCAACAGGTCTAGCAGGCTCAGCAACAGGTCTAGCAGGCGCAGCAACAGGTCTTGCCTGCTCAGCAACAGGTCTAGCAGGCCCAGCAACAAGTCTACAAGGCTCAGCAACAGGTCTAGGAGGCACATCAAGAGGTCTTGCCTACTTAGCAACAGATCTAGCAGGCTCAGCAACAGGTCTTGCAGGCTCAGCAACAGGCCTAGCAGGCTTAGCAACAGGTCTAGCCTTCTAAGCGACTGGTCTAGCAGGCTCAGCAACGGGTCTAGCAGGCTCAGCAACAGGTCTTGCAGGCGCAGCAACGGGTCTAGTAGGCTCAGCAACAGGTCTAGCCTACTCAGCAACAGGTCTAGCCGGCTCAGCAACAGGTCTAGCAGGCTCAGCAACAGGTCTAGCAGGCTCAGCAACGGGTATAGCAGGCTCAGCAACAGGTGTAGCCGGCTCAGCAACAGGTCTAGTAGGCTCAGCAACAGGTCCTGCAGGCTCAGCAACAGGTGTATCAGGCTCAGCAACAGGTATAGCAGGCTCAGCAACTGGTCTAGCAGACTCAGCATCAGGTCTTGCAGGCTCAGCAACAGGTCTACTAGCCTCAGTAACAGATCTAGCAGGCTCAGCAACGGCTCTAGCAGGCTCAGCAACAGGTCTAACCTTCTCAGCAACAGGTCTAGCAGCCTCAGCAACAGGTGTAGCAGGCTCAGCAACAGGTCAAGCAGGCTCAGCAGCAGGTCTTGACTGCTCAGCAACAAGTCTAGCCGGCTCAGCAACAGGTCTAGCAGGCTCAGCAACAAGTCTAGCAGGCTCAGCAACAGGTCTAGAAGGCTCAGCAACAGGTCTAGCATGCCCTGCATCGGTTCTAGCAGGCTCAGCAACAGGTCTAGCAGGCTCAGCAACAGGTCTAGCCGGCTCAGCAACAGGTCTAGCAGGTTCAGCAACAGGTCTAGCAGGCTCAGTAACAGGTCTAGCAGGCTCAGCAACAGGTCTAGCATGCTCAGCAACAGGTCTTGCCTGCTCAGCAACAGGTCTAGCAGGCTCAGGAACAGGTCTGGCCGGCTCAGCAACAGGTCTAACAGGCACAGGAACAGGTCTTGCCGGCTCAACAACACGTCTATCAGACTCAGCAATGGATCTTGCAGGCTCAGCAATAGATCTAGCAGGCTCAGCAACAGGTCTAGCAGGCACAGCAACAGGTCTAGCAGGCTCAGCAACAGGTCTTGCCTGCTCAGCAACAGGTCTAGCAGGCCCAGCAACAGGTCTAGCAGGCTCAGCAACAGGTCTAGGAGGCACAGCAAGAGGTCTTGCCTACTTAGCAACAGATCTAGCAGGCTCAGCAACAGGTCTTGCAGGCTCAGCAACAGGTCTAGCAGGCTTAGCAACAGGTCTAGCCTGCTAAGCGACTGGTCTAGCAGGCTCAGCAACGGGTCTAGCAAGCTCAGTAACATGTCTAGCAGGCTCAGCAACAGGTCTACCCTGCTCTGCAACAGGTCTAGCCGGCTCAGCAACAGGTCTAGCAGGTTCAGCAACAGGTCTAGCAGGCTCAGCAACAGGTCTACCCGGATCAGCAACAGGTCAAGCAGTCTCAGCAACAGGTCTTGCAGGCTCAGAATAGGTCTTGCAGGCTCAGCAACAGGTCTAGCAGACTCAGCATAAGGTCTAGAAGGCTCAACAACAGATCTAGCAGGCTCTGCAACAGATCTAGCAGGCTCAGCAACGGGTCCAGCAGCCTCACTAACAGGTCCAGCAAGCTCAGCAACAAGTCTAGCAGGCTCAGCAACAGTTCTAGCAGGCTCAGCAACAGGTCTTGCCTGCTCAGCAACGGGTCTAGCAGGCTCAGCAACAGGTCTAGTAGGCTCAGCAACAGGTCTAGCCAGCTCAGCAACAGGTCTAGCCGGCTCAGCAACAGGTCTAGTAGGCTCAGCAACAGGTCTAGCAGGCTCAACAACACGTCTATCAGACTCAGCAACGGATCTTGCAGGCTCAGCAATAGATCTAGCAGGCTCAGCAACAGGTCTAGCAGGCACAGCAACAGGTCTAGCAGGCTCAGCAACAGGTCTTGCCTGCTCAGCAACAGGTCTAGCAGGCCCAGCAACAGGTCTAGCAGGCTCAGCAACAGGTCTAGGAGGCACAGCAAGAGGTCTTGCCTACTTAGCAACAGATCTAGCAGGCTCAGCAACAGGTCTTGCAGGCTCAGCAACAGGTCTAGCAGGCTTAGCAACAGGTCTAGCCTGCTAAGCGACTGGTCTAGCAGGCTCAGCAACGGGTCTAGCAAGCTCAGTAACATGTCTAGCAGGCTCAGCAACAGGTCTACCCTGCTCAGCAACAGGTCTAGCCGGCTCAGCAACAGGTCTAGCAGGTTCAGCAACAGGTCTAGCAGGCTCAGCAACAGGTCTACCCGGATCAGCAACAGGTCAAGCAGTCTCAGCAACAGGTCTTGCAGGCTCAGAATAGGTCTTGCAGGCTCAGCAACAGGTCTAGCAGACTCAGCATAAGGTCTAGAAGGCTCAACAACAGATCTAGCAGGCTCTGCAACAGATCTAGCAGGCTCAGCAACGGGTCCAGCAGCCTCACTAACAGGTCCAGCAAGCTCAGCAACAAGTCTAGCAGGCTCAGCAACAGTTCTAGCAGGCTCAGCAACAGGTCTTGCCTGCTCAGCAACGGGTCTAGCAGGCTCAGCAACAGGTCTAGTAGGCTCAGCAACAGGTCTAGCCAGCTCAGCAACAGGTCTAGCCGGCTCAGCAACAGGTCTAGTAGGCTCAGCAACAGGTCTAGCAGGCTCAGCAGCAGGTCTAGCAGGCTCCGCAACGGTTATAGCAGGCTCAGCAACAGGTCTAGCCGGCTGAGCAACAGGTCTTGCCGTCTCAGCAACAGGTCTAGTAGGCTCAGCAACTGGTCCTGCAGGCTCAGCAACAGGTGTATCAGGCTCATCAACAGGTATAACAGACTCAGCAACTGGTCTAGCAGGCTGAGCATCAGGTCTTGCAGGCTCAGCAACAGGTCTACCAGCCTCAGTAACAATTCGTGCAGGCTCAGCAACGGGTCTAGCAGGCTCAGCAACAGGTCTAATCTGCTCAGCAACAGGTCTTGCAGCCTCAGCAATGGGTCTAGTAGGCTCAACAACAGGTCTAGCAGGCTCAGCAACAGGTCTAGCAGGCTCAGCAGCAGGTCTTGCCTGCTCAGCAACAGGTCTAGCCGGCTCAGCAACAGGTCTAGCAGGCTCAGCAACAGGGCTAGCATGCTCAGCAACAGGTCTAGCAGGCTCAGCAACAGGTCTAGCCGGCTCAGCAACAGGGCTAGCATGCTCAGCAACAGGGCTAGCATGCTCAGCAACAGGTCTAGCAGGCTCAGCAACAGGTCTAGCAGGCTCAGAAACAGGTCTAGCCGGCTCACCAACAGGTCTAGCAGGTTCAGCAACAGGTCTAGCAGGCTCAGCAACAAGTCTAGTAGGCTCAGCAACAGGTCTATCATGTTCTGCAACAGTTCTAGCAGGCTCAGCAACAGGTCTAGTAGGCTCAGCAACAGGTCTAGCCGGCTCAGCAACAGTTCTAGCAGGTTCAGCAACAGGTCTAGCAGGCTTAGCAACAGGTCTAGCGGGCTCAGCAAAAGGTCTAGCAGGCTCAGCAACAGGTCTTCCAGGCTCAGAACAGGTCTAGCAGGCTCAGCAACAGGTCTAGCAGGCTCAGCAACAGGTCTAGCAGCCTCAGCAACAGGTCTAGCCGGTTCAGCAACAGGTCTAGCAGGCTCAGCAACAGGTCTAGCCAGCTCAGTAACAGGTCTAGCAGGCTCAGCAACAGGTCTTGCAGGCTCAGCAACAGGTCTAGCAGACTCAGCATCAGGTCTAGCAGGCTCAACAAGAGGTCTAGCAGGCTCAGCAACAGGTCTAGCAGGCTCAGCAACAGGTCTTGCCTGCTCAGCAACAAGTCTAGCATGCTCAGCAACAGGTACAGCAGGCTCAGCAACAGGTCTTGCTGGCTCAGGAACAGGTCTAGCAGGCTCAACAACAGGTCTAGCAGACTCATCAACAGGTCTAGCAGGTTTAGCAACAGGTCCTGCAGGCTCAGCAACAGGTCTAACAGGCTCAGCAACAGGTCTAGCAGGCTCAGCAACAGGTCTAGCAGGCTCAGCAACAGGAACAGCAGGCTCAGCAACAGGTCTTGCAGGCTCAGCAACAGGTCTAGCAGGCTCAATAACAGGTCTAGCCGGCTCAGCAACAGGTCTAGCAGGCTCAGCAACAGGTCTAGCAGGCTCAGTAACAGGTCTTGCAGGCTCAGCAACAGGTCTAGCAGGCTCATCAACAGGTCTATTCGGCTCAGGAACTGGTCTAGCAGGCTCAGCAACTGGTCTAGGAGGCTCAGCAACAGGTCTAGCCGGCCCCTAAGATTGAATTACTAATCACGCCCAGGATGGAACCCCACAGCAAGCTGACTAACTCCTGGGTATCTACTTAGTGCTAAGTGAAGAGATGTATTAGGTGATAAAAACTGATCCCAATGATTTCTCTCCCGCATTGGATTCGAACCCGGAATTCTTGATTGTAAGTTGAGAACGAAGCCGACTATACTACCGGAACTCCGTCATGAATACTAGTAACTATACATTTTAGAAATAAATTATACAACGCATTCATTACTGAAGTTAAATGTATTATTTTAAACTCTCTTAAGCAATCACGGTTTTGTTAATGCAATCAAGGAGTAAATATTTTCTTCACGTGCTTCTACAGTCTTGAGGTTCGAACCGTGGGAGACACTGTGGCTGGAGCAGCAACAACGTCGCTTCACTACCTCTCAGCCATCATCAAGGAGATGATGCCCATCCAACTCTCACATTCCTGCACCACCGTCAACCTCGATGTTGACCTCCAAGTGGCTGATGATGTGAGTATACCTTGTGATATACTCCAAGTTGGTGGTGATGTGAGTATACCTCCTGCTCTCCTCCAAGTTGGTGGTGATGTGAGTATACCTCCTGCTCTCCTCCAAGTTGGTGGTGATGTGAGTATACCTCCTGCTCTCCTCCAAGTTGGTGGTGATGTGAGTATACCTCCTGCTCTCCTCCAAGTTGGTGGTGATGTGAGTATACCTCCTGCTCTCCTCCAAGTTGGTGGTGATGGGAGTATACCTCCTGCTCTCTTCCAAGTTGGTGGTGATGTGAGTATACCTCCTGCTCTCTTCCAAGTTGGTGGTGATGTGAGTATACCTCCTGCTCTCTTCCAAGTTGGTGGTGATGTGAGTATATCTCCTGCTCTCCTCTAAGTTACTGATGATGTGAGTATACCTTGTGATATACTCCAAGTTGGTGGTGATGCGAGTATACCTCCTGCTCTCCTCCAAGTTGGTGGTGATGTGAGTATACCTCCTGCTCTCCTCTAAGTTACTGATGATGTGAGTATACCTTGTGATATACTCCAAGTTGGTGGTGATGCGAGTATACCTCCTGCGCATTATTATCCAGTAAGTCATGTAACAACTGAACAGGGTGATGAAGCCTGAAGTACTCAGTACTTGGCACAATGTAATGGCCCCTGACTGTACTACTCTGGCCTGCCACAGCGTTCCTTGTAGGCTCTTGCCTCTCGTCTCCGGGACCAGTGTTTATGGTCTATATATTGGCACAAAGCAAGAAAATGATAGGAACCATCTTGAGGTTATCTTGAGATGATTTTTGGGCTTTTAGTGTCCCCGCGGCCCAGTCCTCGACCAGGCCTCCACCCCCAGGAAGCAGCCTGTGACAGCTGACTAACACCCAGGTACTTATTTTACTGCTAGGTAACAGGAGCATAGGGTGAAAGAAACTCTGCCCATAGTTTCTCGCCGGCGCCTGGGATCGATCCCATGACCACAGAATCACAAGCCCAGCGTGCTGTCCGCTCGGCCGACCGGCTCATGTATGTTCAAGCATCTAAGGGTTAATATAACATGTATCCTAGCTCACATGGGTTAATATACCATATATCCTAGCTCGCATAGGTTAATATAACATATAACGTAGCTGACATTGTTAATTTAAAATATATCCTACTTATCATGGGTTAATATAACAAATATACTAACTCACATGGTTAATACAACATATCCTAGCCCTCATGGGTAAATATAACATATACCCTAGCTCACTTGTGTTAATCTAACCCGCATTGTACCTGGATGGGGTTCTGAGAGTTCTTCTACTCCCCAAGCCCAGCCCGGGGCCAGGGTTGACTTGTGAAAGCTTGGTCCAACAGGCTGTTGCTTGGAACGGCCCGCAGGCCCACATTGTTTTTTTTATAATATATATACAAAAGTTCCTACATTCTTGAACAGCCAATAGCTCGCATAGCGTTTCGGGCAAGTCCTTAATCCTAATTTCCCTCGGAATACGACCCTCCAAACCGTTCAACAACCAGGTACCAATTCACTGTTGGGTGAACAGAGGCTACAGTTAAGAAATGGTGCCCAGTTAATCCTTCCCGGCCAGGATACGAATCCAGGCCAAAGCGTTCGCTAAGCGGCGAGTGAGAATATATCCACCACATCCTGGTTGGTCTGGCACTTCTTGGAGAAAATTGTCCAGGTTTCTCCTGAAGATTTCCTTCTAAATCGTTTACTCCAGTATGTTGTTATATAACTGTTTAGATTTGGGACCTGGCCCTCCAGTGTTTTCAACGTGTATTTTATTTTGTTTCTCTCTCGTCTCCTCTCTTGGGAGTACATTTGGAGAGCTTTGAGACGATCCCAATAATTTAGATGCTTTATCGCGTCTTTGAATGCCGTGTATGTTCTCTGTATGCCCTCTATTCAGAAATCTCTCCTCTGAAAAGAAAGCGAGTATTGTGCAGTACTCAAGACGGGACAGCACAAGTGATTTGTAGAGTACAAATATTGTGATGGGATCCCTGGATATGAAGGTTCTCGTAATCCATCCTATCATTTTTTGGCTGACGCAATATTTGCTTCGTTATGCTCCCTAAACGTTAGGTCATCAGACATCATTATTCCCAGATCCTTTACATGCTGCTTTCCTTCTATGAGCAGATTTGATTGTGTTTTGTAGACCTGTTTTATGTTTAAGGTCCTCATTTTTACTGTACCTGAGTACCTGGAATTTATCATTGTTAAACACCATGTTATTTTTTGCTGCCCAGTCGAAAACTTTATTGATATCTGCTTGTAGTTTATCAATGTGTTCAACAGAAGTAATTATCACTGACTTTTGTCTTATCTGTAAAAGATGATCCGAAGCTGTGACTCGTATTTTTGTCTATATCTGATATCAGAATAAGGAGTGCAAGGACTGTACCCTGAGGCACAGAGCTTTTAACTGCACTTAGATTCGATTTTATTTTGTTGACTGTTACGTGTGTGATCTGTTAGACAGAAATTTTAATATCCACCGTCCTACTTTTCCTGCTATTCCCATTGACCTCATTTTGTGTGCTATCACCCCATGGTCACATTTATCAAATGCCTTTGCGAAGTCCGTGTATAACACATCTGCATTTTGTTTTTCTTCAACTGCCTCAGTGATTTTGTCATAGTGGTCCAGTAGCTGTAAGAGGCATGATCTTCCCGCTCTAAATCCATGTTGGCCTGGGTTGTGAAGGTCATTGGTCTCTATGAAATTAGAAACCTGACGCCTGATCACTCTCTTAAATACTTTTATGTGGGACGTTAGTGCAACTGGCTATAATTCTTTGCTAGTGCTTTGCTCCCTCCCTTGTGTAGAGGAGCTATGTCTGCTGATTTAAGCGCATCTGGCATCTTCCCGGTATCCAAGCTCTTCCTCCACTCTATACTGAGTGCCTGCGCTACTGGCACTTTGAATTTCTTACTAAATATTGAATTCCATGAGTCTGTACCCGGGGCTGAATGCATGGGCATGTTGTAAATTTATCTTCCAAAATCAGCAGCGTTCTTGTTGATATCAGTTATACTCTCAGGGATTTCGAAATTACGCATAAAGAAGCTGTCCAGATCTATTCCTTTCATGCTGTTTATTGGAGTGATAAACATGTACTCTTGGTTTTTCTGGATTTCACTAATTTTGTTTGTCATCCTTTGTGTTTGAACCGCTTGTAAGAATAGGTTAAATACTGACTGTGATTTTTGCTTTTGATTTCACACATGTGAAGACATATTTTGGGTTTTTGTTTCTCTCTTGTATGGCTTTCTGTTCTTATTGTATGTCTTTAATCTGATGAGAATGCTTCAGTCACTGCTCGATTTCCTCCATCTCCATGTTTAAATTATTACTTCTTTATAGGGATAGTCATGTCTGCTTAAAGATTTAAGTTAGTTTTCCTTCTTTGGGAGTGTCGTCTGCGTTCTCTTTCTAAGTTGGTCCTCTTTCTGGCTTTCCGCAAAGAAACATGTTTCAGACAAACTTTATATGCTTCGGAAGTCAGTTGTTCTATTCCTTGTGAGTGACTTCTATTACTTAGAATAATTTCCTATTGAATGTTTCTATGTACCCTGTATATTTTTTTCCCAGTCTTTCCATTTATTAATAAAATTGAATTTATTGAATAACCCCACTCGCTTGATCTTTGTTTTAGGTCTATTACATGTATTGATCTTAATTTGCACTTCAATGAGCTATTGATCAGAGTATGTGGTATCTGAGATTGTAATGTCCCTAATTATGTCTTCATTATTTGTGAAGTTCAGATCTAGAATATTTTCGTTCCAAGTTGGCTCTGTTATCTGCTGGGTGAGTGAAAATTTGTCACAGAATCTAAGTACTTCTCTGACCTGTGGTTGGTTATGTCCATATATATTTCCTGTTATAATATTATTGTTTCCTATTCTCCATTTTAAACTAGGCAAGTTGAAGTCACCTAGGAAGATATCAGGTACTGGGTTTGGCAGATTATCAAGGTGGTTCTCTATTTTGTTATCTGTTCTGTGAATTCTTCAGCCGTTGCACATGGCAATTTGTACATAAGAATAACAACTAAGTTTATTTTCTCTGTTTTTATTCCCAGTACTTCGACCACATCATTTGTAGAGTTAAGGAGCTCCGATAAGAGACTCCTATCACATCTATGTAGATTATATTCTGGTATCTAGATCTCACAGTCCAAGAGTTTAACTTCATGGGTTTCTGTGAAAGCTCCAAATACTGTATTTGACTCAGTGAGGAGGCCATTATGAACGGTATTTTGTTTTTTGCTCTTGTTATTGCAAACTCTTGTTCGTTCGACACCTACCCAGAGCCTGTATGTTGAAGCTGGCCTCTTGTCTCTACAGTATCACCGTGATCGCTACTGCCTTCGCTACATTGCGTGGTTCCTACAACACCCACACTCTAGCTTATGTCGTAGTTTGACCTTTACCTCTCTCGTTGGCCGTTTCCTTTCACCATCTTCACTTTTCTGTACGATTTTTTCGCTTGTACTGTTATCTCTCGGTTCGCGTTCTCTAAATTTCTTCTCATGTCATTCGACCCTTGCCCCCGTGGAGGGTCCCCCTTCCTCAGTTTACTAAAACCTTGACTCACACGAAAAAAGTTTTTACCCCCGGTTCTGAAACGCCTTTTCCTTGCTCAATTTTCTTCACACTCCCATTCAGTCTCTGTCTTCACAGATTTGTCTAAGTCTGACCAATGACCTTCACAACCCAGGCCAACATGGATTTCGAGCGGGAAGATCGTGCCTCTCACAGCTACTTGAGCACTACGACAAAGTCACTGAGGCATTAGAAGAGAAACAGAATGCTGATGTGATATACACGGACTTCGCAAAGGCTTTCGATAAATGTGACCATGGCGTGATAGCACACAAAATGAAGTCAATGGGAATAACCGGTAAAGTAGGACGCTGGATACTCAGTTTTCTGTCAAACAGGACTCAGCGAGTAACTGTCAACCATATAAAATCTAGTCCAAGTGCAGTGAAAAG